GTCCCAAAATTTTGCCGCACGCACGAACGCACGATGAACGAGGAGAGCTGTGCGGCCTTTTTGATGGCAATATTAGATATGGCGCCGCCGACCCGACTGCAGCACGCCAGGATGCTGCGGTCCATGTCGGAAATGAATTGAACCCCGCTGGGCATGATGATTCTGGGGTTACAAAATATCGCGGCGCGATCGGAAACGAGGCAGGCGCGCCCCGTGACAGAGGAATAGATGAATCAAGTTATCCGCAGCCGAACCGATTGGAAGGAACGTGTTGTTTTTCGACTTGTTTGGATAACGGCGAGTCGTTGGTCCGGGATTGCGGCCACAACCCCCAACAATGTCACACTGGAGCCGGACGGGACCTTAATTTTTGGATTGGTCCGTGGCACCAAAGACGGCGAGAGCGGATTCCCACTGCGCCTCGCGGTTCGTGAGGATACGAGTGCAGGACGCCTTCGACACTATAAAGCTATGCAGGACACTTCAAAAAAACGAAAAGCCCACGAATATTACGACTGCCAAAGTCGAACGAGCTCTGGCTCCTTGGAATGCCACGGAACATTCCATAGAACGCGGTGCGTTGCGGCACGCTGCTGAAATCGTGGAGGCGTACAATTTGAATCCACACGTGATCTCGCAGTTGGTGAAGCACGTCAATCCGTTCGACCTTCCCCAGAATACTGTTCGATATTTGGGGAGATACACCACAGTGCTGACCCAGGTGTCGTCGCTGTTCGCATTGATGTGAAGGGAGACACTGCGGAAGGACAGGAACCCTGGTTGAGAGCGGAGGAGCGTTTTTTTCATGATTTTTATCCTTACTCCGCTACAATAACGAGACGCGCGACAAGGACGCGTCTGAACACTCCACAAGATGAACACGCTACCCCGCTACAGCAGGTCAACGTGCCCGTATTGAATCTAGAGTGGATCATGAGCCGGTTGAACCCGGCTACCTTGGAGAGACTTATGCAAGTTTGTGGACTCGTCGGGCGGTCCCCTTTCCCTCCGTCTTCCTCCGGTAAAGCGTGCGAAGGCTCACGGAGGATTCCAACCGCTGATGCGCGTTTGTTACGAAAGGCGGGAATAATCGAGGACGCTTTGTCCACAATAAAAGGCGGATGGACAATACTTTTCTTATTTGTGGAGAAGAAAACCACCGGTTTGCGACGACGATGGATCGCGTGGCCACGCGACAGGAACAGGGACGACCCTTATGAGGCTCATGCTCCTCTTTTACACATTTCTCATTATTTACCGCCTGTGATGGCTGAGGCCGCTTCCTGCCTGGATGTGAAGGCATCCGCTTTTCATTTCTCTTTACCGCGGGAGACTCGGCATCTCTTTTGATGCCGCGTGGAGGACGGCACGCTGGTGGAGCTGACACGGCTCCCTATGGGACACAAGTCCAGCCCAGAAATTCTCCAGATCATCATTACTTCGGCCATTGCGGTGGTGACGACGGTGGTTCGCCGCCTCTGGGCCGCACCTCCATTGGTGCGTGTCGACGTTTGGATCGGTAATATACGCATTACATTGTCGAAAAGCGATGCGACATTGTGGGAAGCCCAAGTACTTCGTAATGCGGTCGGCCGTCACGCCACGATGGGGGAGGATCGCGAATCGGGCGCTACGCATTACACCTTTCTGGGGGTGCGGTTTGATCTCAGACACACCGGGCGGTATCCCTGAGTGACAAGTTTGTCTGCTCTGTGCGCGCCATGCCGACGCTTAATTCTTTAACCATCGCGGAAATGGAGGTCAAGGCGTCACGCGTTTTGTACGTGGCGGTCATTTTTGGCACGCGTTTATGTGACTGCCACTTTTTTATCAAGGCAGTGCAACGACGATTGTCCGCGCTTAACCGGGGAATTGTGCAGGAGAAATCCCCGGCGAACCTTCCGCCGGTAGCGATTGGTTTGGGCGAGGGATTGTGACACATCATCGAGAATAATCGTAAGCGAATCATCAAGCCCACGGAAAAGGCATCGGCCGCCATCATCACGGATGCATCGCTCCATGCTTGGTGAGCCGTTTTCATTGCAGACTCCGGCGGCGTTAAAATTGCCGGAGGGAAATAGGAGAGGAAGCCTTTTCTTATCATGCAGGCCGAGGCACGCGCGGTACGCTTAGCCTTATCGGCCTTTTCCGCCATCTTGCCACCCACCATGGACGTTTGGGTGGACAATACTTCGCTGCGAGGAGCGGCGAATAAAGGCAGCTCAAACCCACACGCCGCGACGTGGGAAACGCGATGGGTATATGAGTTTCGGACTCTCGCGGAATACAGGCATCCTCTGCCTACGTGCGGTCAGAAGAAAACCCCGCGGACGGCATGTCACGCGGTCGCGCTTTTACACTTCAGGACTTGGCGGAGAGGTGGAATTTGCGAAGGGCAGCGGCGGTGTCTTGTGATCGGAAGACCCCAAAGCCCGCCACTTCGTAGGCAATAACCTGTTGAATCTTATTCGAGCAAAAAACGTCAAGAGAGCGGTCAAAAGAACATAAACGAATCGGAATAAACTATTGAGGCAATTGGCCGCGTCTGCTTTGACTTCCTTTTCCTTCCCATATCGTTGGGTTTGCTGGGATAATTTCAGGATCCGTCCAGCGGCCAAGGCACATCTTCATCCCTTACGTTTTGCCGAATGAGTGGGAGCAAAGCGGCGTTTTCGCGCCACTCCGTGCGTGCGTGAGGGCGGTGCTTTTCCCACCTGCCGGTTCACTTCGGCGGCCTTTTTTTTTTTTTTTTTGCTTCTGTGATCCCTGGTGGGTGTCCCTTTCTTATTGTTTTGAGGGCGAAAAAACCAAAACCAAAAACAAAAACAAAAAAATAAGAAACGGATGGGGGCAAACAAAAGGTGGCGGCAGTGTTGTTGGTGTTGATGTTGTTTGTGTGTGTGTGTGTGTGTGGTGTCCGCGCGGGTCGCGAAAAAACAAACAAAACAAAAACTGCAGTCAAGCAAAGCCTCGCACATGTACGTACTTTTTTAATTGGAAAAAAAGAAACCAAAAAAAAAAAAAAAAAAAAGAAAAAAGAAAAGAAAAGAAGACAAAAACAAAAAACAAAAACAAAAACAAAACAAAAAAAAGATACCGAAATCCTTTTCTCCCTCCGACCCCTCAGTTACCAAAAAAGCAAAAAAAGCAAGCAAACAAACAAACAAAAAAAAAAGGAGCAAAGAGTTATTATAACCAAAATTTTTTTTTTTTTTCTTTTTTCTTTTTAAAATGTCCCGAAAGGATCTTGAATCGACATCCTGCAAACAGACTTCGAGTTTTCTATAAAGAGAGAATGGAAGTGAGATGTGTGTGCGTGTGTGTGTGTGTCTCTGCCTCTAAACTCCGCTCCGCATTTCGCGCCGAATAAGTTTCTTACGCGCAAACCCGCATATATACGTGGCAAACACACACGTGGTCTTTAAAAGATCCGAGGCAAAAATACACTTTCCCCCCCCCCCCACCCCCTCCCTCCGCCTATAATACATTTACCCTCGCCATGCTCACCCGGTTTCTCCCACGGAACACACAATTGAAGAGAAAGGGGGACGGCTTCCCATTTCATGCCCCCCCCTTTTTTTTAATTTTTTTATTTTTTGTTTGCACCACACCACTCCCCTTCCCTCGGTCTTAAATTTTTTTTTTTATTTTTATCAGTACTCCCATTCTTTGTTTCGTATGTATTTGATGCATATCTTCGTTGGCATCATCGTTTTCTCTTCCTTTACTGTTACTTTCCCCCCCCCCCCCCACTTTTTTTTTTTTTTTTTTCTTTTCTTCCCTCTTCCTTCCTTTTTACCGTTTGCTGCATGTAAGGGGGGGTTGTGTGACAAACAAAATCACACGGAAGA